AGGAATAAATTGCTTATCGATAAAAGATAGCAGAAATCTTATTATGCAGATTAAGTGCTTGCTAAATAGTCTTCCAATACTTAGCGAGCTCAAAAAAAGGAAGCCATCTCTATATAAAAGTGATCACTACATCCTATGCAAAGAAGAAATTCCAGAAGATCTTGACTATCTAATAAGTTGCTTAGTGTTACAAGATTCATGGGAAGAAATTAAAAAAGCAATAATAGAAGATATTAGTATGATCCAACTTGAGAAAGCTAGTAGCTCTGATTTTATACAAAAAATCTGAACGATTATCTTTCCAAATAATAAGAAAAGCCTTTTTCAAAGAAGAAAGGAGCTAATAATTGGACTTGAAGAAAAGAAAATAGCTGAAGATATCTAATTACTAGCTCAGAAGAAAGGTACTATAAGAACTTAGATGGATAGTATCTTTTTTATAGCCTAAAGAAGCTTTGCAGAGATAATATAAAACTAGCGATGTGAAAAAATAATCATTTAGGAAAAAAGCAAAGGAATTACAGCAAAGTTAAAAAGAAACAAGGAAGAGGAAAAACTACTGAAAGTGAGAACCTAAGCAGATGAAAGGAGGAAAGCTTTGCTTGCAGAAAAGAAAAGGGAAAAAGGAAGGAAGAAAGAATGGGTAATGGTACTAGTAAAAGAAGTGATTAAAAAAGAAATTAAAGAGGGAGAAATAAGCTAGTGGAGTTTCCTTTAATACAGTTAGACTAATTGTTCTAGCTCTTTGGTTAGTACGACAGGTCGTACCTGAGTACTCTAGTAGCAGCTGGGTAATGTCAAACTTAGTAAGTTAAGTAGATTAGATAATTATGTAACTTGGCTAAAGCCCTAATTAACAGCTTAATAAAGTTTATGACATAACTGTCAAAGGAAAAAAAAAAAATAATTAAATAATTAATATACTCAACTAATTATAAAATATACTTACCTTAAGTGCTTTTTACTTTTCTGATTTATAATTCAATATAATAAAAATACTGTTTTAAAAATCTTACTTATTTTTAAAATGTGTTGCTTATTTGTTAATTTTAAAATTAGTATGATAATTGAAAAAGTACTATATATTAGATCATATTTAGAAAGTTGACGATTCTATATTTTATTATAATATCTTGTTTAAACTAATCCTTCTCAGTATTTACAATAATTCGTATCAAATTTTTTATAAAGCTTTCATTAAAATACCTATGCAACTCTAAAGCTCTTCTAAAAATAGTTAACAAGTTATGCTACTTATCAACATGAATAAAATCACCAAAACTAAGAAAATAGAAAAAAAATTTAGCACTAATATGACTAAAAATTATATGCCCAGAATTAGTTATAGGTGAAAAAATATTATTTTGAAGTAAGAAAAAAACTTTAACTAATAGATAAGATAATGAATCTATATTGAATATATCACTATGTATATAAGAATGATAATTAGAATTCTTCTGATATAGTACCAAAATTTGTACAAGACAAAGTTCATGATTAATATAAGAAAATTTATAACTATGCTTGCAAAAAGGATTATGTTCTCAAACATTAGTGATGGTTATTCCATTTAGATCTAAATTTTAAAAATAATTTATTAAATAAGTATTTAAACTACTAGTATTCATATTTAATTACTTACTGACTCTCTTATTTGCATTTGATAATATAGATAAATGACATTAATTTTTCTACTGAATTTTATGTAATTTCTCAGTTTGTAATATTTCCAGATTTGATATGTAACTTGTAATTAGATTACTAATCGTATTTAAGGAAACAGAATTCATATAATTAAGATTTTGAATTTTACAAGTAGTCTTTTGCTCCATATTTTGATTACTATAACATTTGTGATTTTTCTGTAAATTAACTAGGTATAAAACATCCAAGATTTCTGCTTTAGTAACACCAGTATAAAATTTGTTATATATTCCTAAATCATAACTATTTAAAGAATCTGTGTCTGATAATAAAAAAGCTAACTCAAGATATGTATCTCTTAAATCATCTTCAATATCATCATCATGAATATCAATTATATTAATATTAACTATAGTAGTTGCTGCTATAGCAATTGCATATGAATCTAATATTTTATTATTTTGAGACAAATCGTTAAAAACATTAAAAAATTATTCTCATCATTTTTATTATCTGACCAATTCGATTATCCTTCAAAACTGGTTAAAAAATCAAAGAGTTCATCATTACAATTAACTCTTGAAAGTATTTTTGCAAAATCTCAAGCTTGTTGATATTCTTTGTGAATAGCACAAAGCAAATTATTATTTGAAAGCTATTAACATAACATATTAATAGTTTCTGCAAGTGTCCTAGTATTATAATATGTAATATAATCTAATAAAAATAAATAATTAGAGATTTAATTGTATAAATAATAAAATAGTATATAAATTATACTTACCAACTCTAGAAGTTTTATCCTTCATTACTTCATTTAAAGTACTATTCATATATATCTTATATATATATAATACTTTTAGAACTATATATAGTAAATTAGAAAATGTAAAGTTATTATTTATTTGTTAGCACAATTCAAAAAAATATTCGCACCTTTCAAATCTGTGAAGCCATAGTAATATCAGATAAGAATTATAAAAATCACAATATGATATAATTAGAAGAATCTAACAAAAATAAATTAGAATATTAGCATAGTAATATTTTGTAAACTTTAAGAAACTAGCAAATATTTATTCTTACTAATGATTCAGCTAAACTTATTAAAATATTAAATGTTTGTATTGCAAAAAAATTTTTCTCAAGACTAATATAATTTGAGTTAGCTGATCCAGTTAATAGAATATATGATTTCTATATCATAAGAAAGAAATAGGCTATTATGATTATTCAAGCCCTTTCTAAATGTAAAATTGTTCTGTTTTGATATGTATTAATTAACTTACCTAGTTAAAATATTAAAATCAAAGTATTAAAACAAAAGTTTTAATTTTTAATATGAATATATTATTAACTTACTAATTACAAACAAATAAATAAAAAGCTCATAATGAATATTTTTAGAATTATTTGAACTCATGACTTGATTAAGAAGTAAAGAACAGAAAAGGCAATAACTAGCACTATCATCTTGGTGATTACAATTAATAATGTCTTTCTTATATAATATGCTATCATCTTGTTTACATATATCTAATATTTGATTATACATTACTACATAATATCCTAAAGTAAGCAATCATGCCTCAGAAAATAATACATTTCATGCAGATTTTCAGGTATATAACAGATCAGAAACTCGAATTACTAGTCCTACTTCAGAAAAAACAGGGCAAGTAAAGTTTATATTATATATTGGATTACTAAAATCTTTTGTCAATCCAGTATTTTTGATTATTAAGTATTTTTGAATATTAAATTCTGAAATAGCACTATCAGCACCAATAGAAATTATATGAATTGAAAGTTCACTAGCTATTTCTAACATCTTTTTATATATTTGTATTTTTTATTTTTTTTTAGAATAACTATAAATTTTTTTTACTTATAATACTATAATCTATACATGCATAGCAGAAACTTTGTTGTTACTATATCTAATAGCTTAAAGTATTATTATTATTAATATGACTTAAATTAAGCATTTACTTGAAGCAAATATAAACGAACTTGCTTTGCAATTATATTATTTGAAATTATATTTTGAATAATTGTTTCTACTTTATCGTAATCTTCAACTCGAG